TCCTTTAGGCGTTGTTTGTAAAACACCGACGTTTCTGTGACATTTCCACGCCGGACGGCGCCCGAGTTTCACCACTGCGAGTTTCAGACCTATCATTCGTTGCGAGCGTGTTCCCGGTCAGTCAATGAGCCAATCAGAATCTTGCATAGTAAAACATCTCCCGCCCCTCGGCTAGACTCTAAAATCGCGACCAATTAAAAATGTGCAGCGTCAACGTATTGGCCAATAAGGTTTCAGGAGGGAGAAATGCAACCAATAGCAATGCCGTAAACAGTCGTCTTTGTTCCAATGTGAAATAAGAAGATACTCGTTGGTTTATGTACCGCGGTTTGTATATTGAATCTCGTGCGTTGCAAAATAGCAACGGCTTGTAAAAAAAATGGACAATAAAAATCCAATAAACGTGCTATTACAGAAGTGCATGAGTCATAATAGCTATATAATATTAACCAGAACATTAGGTTGGATCCAGCCATAAAAGTCTTTATTTTAAAACACGTCATGTATCAAACACAGATGCACATACTAGTGTATGTGTGTACATAAGAAAAACACAATTACTGATGAGTAAACTATTTTTCAGAGAAGCCCCCTCAGAAGGGCAGAAGAAATCAAATAAAATCAGTAACATGGCTCATGGACAGATCATGTGTAAAGTTCAAAGTCTATTCTCTTTGAGTTGTAGAATGGGGCGCCTCCTTGGTCAATCCTTCTGCAGTATACTCCATCCTTGAAGTAGCCCTCATCCACCCAGTCCTGGAATAAAAGATACAGCAATACAATATATAATACACCACTCTTGTTCACAATACCTAAACTTTCACCAAAAAAAAAGTGTCTGTCTTTAGTATAAATCAAAATCATTGTGTGACATTGCAACAAATGTAGGTAATACTGAATATTTCTCAATGGTCATATAATTCTTTTGCCAACACTCTGCCTGTCTATTACTCGCTGGTCACATCATTGGTTAAGCTACTGCCAGACGCTCTAAAAAACAGTGCAATATTGCATCTGCCACAGTTTTTACATTTTAATATCAAACTTAACATCGAAATAAAGGAAAATTTGTTGTAAAAAAATTGTGCTAGTTCAAGTGCGTTTGCTTACCTGCATCTGTTGGCTGCTGAAGGGCCCATAGAGCTCAGAGTTTTCCTCATTGTCCCATTTGTACTCCCACATGACCTCATCACTCACTGGAGAGAAACACTGCTATTACTGAGGGATTAGCCACGAATCAAATAATCATAAATGAAGAGAGACAATAAAATTACAAACATGTTTAAAATGTACAATTTCACTGATGTTGGATCAAGTTCACTTGTTTGCATCTGAACTAGACTGGATTATTTGTGACCACCACAAAAAAAAAGTTGCAATAACTACTACAAATACAGGTTCATTGAAGATTTATCTAATTACACCACAACAAAAAATAACATTCTTATCCAATCACTGACCTAAGCTGTTGTCTTTATCCTTGTCTTTTTCTGCACCATGCTTATCGTCAAACTCATCAGCGAACATGTCTAGCTCATCTTCTTCCTCTTTTTTATCCTCAAGCGTTTTGGCTGCCTTTCCTTGAGTCAACCCCTTCAGCTTGTAGGCCAGTTTTTCATACGTCTGCTGATAAATTTCAAACTCTCCAATGCCCACCAGTCTATCTGCCAACGCTGTCAGTTTGTCAAGTTTATCAGCGTCTCTGTTCAAAGTCTTTTCCTCCTCTCCTCCTCTCAGTTTCCCTTTTTTCTTCTGTCCTCCAAGACCGCCAAGTCTTCTCAGAGCAGCAGCCACTGTTTCTCCAGGAAGCAGCAGCTGAATGATGGCTTCTGTGAGTTGATAATGGCTGTAAGTAGCCAGAGGGTCTTCTGCTGGCACTTTCTCCTCCTCTATCTCCTCTTCCTCAGTGTCTTTCTGCTCCTCCTCTCGTTTTATCTCCTCCTCTGCTTCATCTTCATCACCAACCCTTCTCTTACGCTTCGCTGAAAGGCCTTTCTTCTTTTTCACAGGTTGCTCCTTTATCTTCACCTGTGTGAGAAAAAACATTGGAACTTTGAGCTTAAGTTTTGAATCCAAATTATATATCAGAATTTATTAAATGTATTGAATATGACAATGTACCCAGTCAATATTGTCCAGCCAGTTGTCCCTGATATCTTCCTCTTTGTTGACAAAATAGTTTCCCTCTGAATCAAAGTAACCCTCTTGCATTTCCTCATCGAGGTTAAAAGGGGTGATGCGTACACCCTCATCATAGTCAATGGTTGCCATTTCCTGGCCTGTAAACACAAAGAATGTGAAAGACAAATATTAAGTACTATTAACCATATAGTGTTAATTACGTCAGACGAGAATAAATATGTTCGTCAACTGCCTTTTTTTCCATGACAAAGACGAGACTGCACCAATGTCCAAAAACTCTGACTAAGACTAAATTTACATGCATTATTGTTGACGAAAAAGAAGAGTTTTGCATAAAATAAAAATAAGATATTATCTCACTTAATTTGTCAACAATCACTACTTTTTCATCACGAGATAGACGGCATAATGGGTAGAAGAAAAAAAACTGTACTTTTACTTTGTTACATTGGGAGGCGTTCCTCTCTTTACTTTATTTTAAAGCAATGTTGTTAAATGCGTAGTTTATTCCAAGCACGCTGCAACTGGGCAGGAGCGATGCTCAATTCACAAATTAATCACTCTTTTGAGTCGGTTATGTACAAAGACTTCTTCAAATAAGTTGGCAGATCTGTCTAAATCAGTTTGTGAATCAGTTTGAATGATCTGTTCAGTTTCCTGCACGCATCGATTCATCTGAAGCGCTTTCCATTCTTCCACTCAACTCGGATTTAAGAACATCAAGAGCTTTGATGAAGTGGCTGTGGACCTACAGTACAATCAAATGACAGTCTCTGAACATAAAAATATCAGAGACATGAGATATCCAAAAACAGTTTTAAAAACCTTTGTAACCTTGTCAGTCAGACTGTTGGGCCGCAGCTTTTGAATTGTGTTGGTTCAAAATAAAATACTCTTCAGAACAAGTTCATCATTTGTGAATGTGTCTCTTAAATCAGAAAAACATACATGTTTCACAAAGTTGCATTCAACAAAAATCATTCAACAAGTGCATTTTGTCAGGTAATGATGACATTTAACCATTATTTGAGATGAATGAAATGGTTATGAGAAATAATCTCAGAAATGATTTATAAGATATGACTGACAAAAAAACGATTTGTGAATGACTAAGATGAACAAGACATTTGGCACAAGACTAAATTAACACTATAACCATAACAAAAATATAAGGAACCTTGTGCATCAAAATACTGCCATTTGTCAACCTTTTGCTCCATTTATTACATAAAAATTGCTCATGTCTACATGTTCACATCCCAGAGCCTCATTAACAATTTAAAAAGAAAGCATTACTAAGCTCAACAGGAAGGAGAGACATCATTCTGCAATGCGCTTAATTTATTTGATAATCTGCATAAGAACACATTATTCACAGACCTTCCACATCATCATTGGCAAGGATGTCATATTTGCTGGTATTTTCTCCATCCCCTCCTTCATCTTCCTCATCACTGTCCAATGAGTGTTTCTCCTTGAATCTGGATCCTGGGCCACTTACAACATCAACAATCTGTAAAAAAGACATTAGATAGAGCAGAAAGAGCATGGGCATTCACAATACTGTACAATCCCTTTAATCAGCAAACCAAAATGCATGGAAAATAACAGGACACATAGTATAATAAAATATAAAGAGTTATATGAGGCCAACCTTTTTCTTTGGAACAACTTCTTCCAAAGTAATCTCTCCATCTCCATCCTGAAAGGTCACTTTCCTTTTCGACATGCTAAAAGAGGTATAAGACACTACATCAGACAATATTGTGTTTTTGTTGTGTGTGTGTACGTCTAATATACACGGAAAATGTTATATTCTTAACAGGATGCTGGGACTCCATAACAGGTTGAATTAATGAAACCTGTACATATTGTTTAAGATTTAAAAGCATAAAAGACACTTCATAGACAAGCAAACTTGCTGCAGTTGACTGTTAGAAGACATTTAACCCTAATTGCGCTCCTACACATAAACTGACGTTACATCTATTGAGATGTGTATAAAGTAACTTATAGGCCTGATTCTTTAATATCTACAAAACCTTACACAAACATGTATGGAGTCCATTTGATTGGTGATTCTGAGGGATTATTGCAAACTAAATTGAATGAAGTAGGCGATCACATTTAATTGTTTAAAAATGTGAAAACGCTGCAGAGCAATGCTTAACTTAAGCTAATGCTGCGAGCGTCCGTTCGGAGCGTGTGTCAGTTAGCTAACGAGTTCAAAAGTCATATAAAATTAACTTTAAATTGACTTATACACACGCTTAACAGACTGGTCAGCTAGAAACCAGTACAAATAAAGTGTAAAACACACTGTGTAATAATAGTTACCTGGATGTTATTCTCCCCGCTGCGCCATTCAAGCAAAACTAAAACCGGAACAACGTCATTCGTGTGATTCTGGTCGAATCTCTATCGCCGCCTACAGGAGAACCGGTTGAATGACGTCCATTGCGATTAATTCACTTCTGTGTGACCTCACGTCCACCACTTTATATGCTTGTATTTTCTTTTTCTTTTCTTTTTTATTTTTTTACAAAAATAACCTCCTGATTTACGTTTCAAAACGAGCAAGTATTGTTTTGTTATTTTCAAACAGGAATCTGATCATTTGGCTTGTATGCATGCTTTGTGGGAATTTCTCTCTGGAAAAAGAAATAACTAAAAACAGCAGCGACTGTGTGCAAAAGCCACCTCTATGCAAAGGCACAGTTCTTACATAATCTATCCAGTAAATATTTAATGAGAGCCTAAATTAGAAACATGAATCAATAATACGCAGTGTAGCTTATCTGTGTTTTATTATTTATTAATAATTATTTAGTTCCCCTATTATTTGCCTATCATGCATGTGTTGTGGATGTGAAAGCGAACATGCCACTGCAGTTTCACTATTAAGTCAAAAGAGAATAGGGCATCGGCTTTTGTTACCAGGAAGTGGGTCGAGTTATTTATATTTCAACACTTAACCGGCGCGAGAGCTCGCACTGGTAACACGAAACTTAAATAATTATATTGGTCTTTGCTAGGATTGAGGCGCTTGTTTTAAAGTTATGTTTTCCCCCTAAGGTCGTATGGATACCCTCGAAAAATCAACGGAAAGGCATTGACAGAAGTAAGTTGGTGCACCTGACAAATATTAAGGCGGTCTGTCACAGTTCAGTTCACAATTCCTTTTTTACCGTTTGCTTCCTTGTTTATCCTTGTACAAGGCGTATATAGATGCTTTAAGATGGATACATAATATTTACGTGGCAGTGCTTTCACTCCGCCTGAACTGGATAGACAGGTTGTTCACGTATGATTTAATGCTTACTCATGATTAGATTTGCACGTTTCCTTTTTCTAAAAAAAAATATCACTATTTATTTATTTTTCATTTTATTGTTATTCTGTTTAAAAGAATGACGATAGCCAATTCGATTTGTCCATGGGCTGTAATTTCTTTTGCTGACTGAAAAGCTCGCTCCCTGAGGACACGGCTGAACGCCAGGTGGCGTTGTAATGAAGATCCATGAGAAGATTCTAACCCATTACCTGTCCTGCACTTCACCTGTAGATAAGGAAGGTTACCTCTACAAAAAGGTAAGGACCTGGATTTGTCAGTTTACCCAGATATTATTAAATTAACCTTGAATGCTACTTTTAAAAAGCGGACTCTAAATCTTTTTTAAAACGTAAAATGCACTGGCGAGTGCTCTATCTACGTGTATCAAAGTGTTGGGATTGAAACTGCCAATGCTGTCGGATTTCTTTACTATGCTTGGGAAAGCGAACTACATTATATCTGACACATCTAATTACATTCGGTATCCTTGTATAGTCCTTTGGCAAAAAAAAAAATTAATTAATTAAATTTCCATTTGTTATAGCCTATGTGCTATTTCCCTGCTCAATTCAAATAGAAGTGCATGTTTAGGTTATTGTACATCTGAAATATTTATTCATTTTTAATGTTCTATGGTGTTTTGTATGCACCTGTTCTCCACTGCTGTAAAACACAGTGCCCCCAAAGTTGACAATAAATGGTTAAAGTAAAATCGATGGTGACAAGCAGAACTATATGATTTGATAAGGAAATAGTTATTGTAAATTATCTCCAATAATAACATTGTTCAAATACCAATATTTCTGAACAGACTAAAAAGAAACCACCTCAATATCTGTAAATGGTACTAGTACTTGAGAAACAGCCTGTTACACTTATTATTCGATAGACACTTATTAAAACCATGCCATTGGCCTATTTCTTAATTAGTGACACTAAGACGTCTATTTTTCTCTTATCCAGCATTTCTCTGTTCTGTTTACTCTAGAATCATTTTCTTTCTCTTTAAACAAGTCGTACTTGAAATGACTTCCTTGTCCTACCTGTGTTTAAACTATTACCACATTTCTGCTCCACAGAGAGAGAGGAACACCACTTACCTGCGTCGCTGGTTTGTGTTGAAGGGGAATCTGTTGTTTTATCAGGAGCGTCCAGGCGATCGTAACCTGTTGGGTGTTATCGTCCTGGAGGGCTGCATGGTCCAGGCATGTGAGACGGACGGTCAGTTCTGTTTCTCTTTGGTGTTCACCGGACCAGGCCTCCGCACTTACAGACTAGCCGCTGACGATCATAACAGCCAGGAGAGCTGGATCGGCGCTCTGTTCTGCGCTAGCCACATCTACCTTTCTGTGATTGTCAGAGACCTGGAGAGACGTTACCAAGGTGTGTTTATGTGCTTGCATACTGTATATGTTTTGTGTCGTGTGGCTGTATTAGCTTGAATGCAATCATCTTGTCTAAATTATATTTGTTTATGCTCTCAATAAAACAGAAGCTAGAAGAGACAAAGGCCTTATTGATTCCACCCAGACCTCAGCAGTGACTTCTACACCCAATAAGATAATGGCTTCCTGGAATACAGGACAACCCTATTTCATACATGGGACTTCCATAATGCCCAGAGACGGGCGAAGCTACAGCGCTAGTTCAGCACCACCTCCATCTATGCCGAACAGACCCATCAGCTACAGTCTTCATGCTCCTCCTATTCAGTTAAAAACTACCAGTAAGAGATCTCCAAAGCTCTGGCCCAAGAGAAATGCCCACGTCACCCCCTTAAATGGTCCGGCACCATCTTACGGGGAGTGGCCAGTTGTTGGCTTTGATCCTTTGGAAGAATTTAGTAAACTGCATGAGTACTATGGAAATGAGATTAAGAAACTAAGAGCTGACTGGCTGAAGAAGAAGCATGAGGAAGTGGGATACGTTGAGGAGGACCTCATTGATCTAGGCTAGAGTGACCTCTGTTGGTTTGTGCAGATGCATATTCATATGCATGTGTTCAGGCTGTCATCAAAATAGTAAATCCTGTTCTGAAACAACGGATTAATGAACGTATTAAGGATTCATGAAATGTATTGAACAATCCTGCTGTCTTCTTAATTTTATGAAGGTATGTAGATTAGCACTGACTGCTGATCTTGATGGCATTTCTAGTAAAAGGTTTCTCATTTCCCCTCTGTGGTCAGCCTATACGTCTCAGCCCCCATCCGAGCCTATTTCCTTGCTTCAACTGTCATAAAACAGACCCAAACCACAAGTAGTTTTACCAGCATTTATGTGCGGTCATAACTGCAAAAACTAATATTGCACTCATAGCAATTAAAATACTGTCAAATGAGGTCAGATGTCATGCATGTTCAGTGAAGGGATTGAGAATTTGCTTTATTTAAGATTACATGTTAGTTTTAGAGCTCTATAACAATTGTTAATATTTCATTTCTTGTTACATCTTCTAAATTATGGACTGAGGGAGCCTAAATTAATGTAATTGTGTTGTGTATGTTAATAGTTCAGGATTTGTACTCAATGTTCATCTTTTATTTGACAGAAGGATGTAAATGAACGTATGTGACTTTCTAAAGAACAAGTGACTGTTAAGTTCTACGTTACAAAACAAAACATGCTTCACTCAGTTCAGGAGGTTTCACAAACAAACTAAAATACTGGCCTATACTTCCTCTTTCTCATCACCTCAAATCTCTGGGGATGTAGACGTGTCTTTTTTTCTTTGAGTTTTTTGCTTATTTTACACATCTGGAACAGTCAACCTATTAATAAACATTTTTATAGGTGTGACAGTCATATTAGTCAATATTAAAAATAAACTGTACAGTTTGTATGCATTCATCTTTTCTGAGGTGTAGCTCTTCATAGGGTTAACAGAGGGCACTGCACCTCACTAACAGTACTACTACTGTATTTAGCTTGAAAAAGTGATATTTTATTATATAATGCACCAAATTATATATATATATATATATATATATATATATAAGTATTATATATAAGCAATTTTGGATTGTATAAATGTTTTATATATTCAGTTTCTATGAACTGCGTCCACAACACATTGTCTTAAATTAATATAGATCAATTTTGTTATATTTATTTTAATTAAAATTTGTTAATTGAATGTTTTTAAGTATTAATCCTCTGATGTACACTGTAATAAATCCTGTAAATATCTGTTTTTAACATTTTGAGTGCATGCATTTCAACAGCATATTTCACAGCAGCCAGCAATAAGGACATTTTTTTAATCAGTGGTTGTATAAATAAGAGTGTGCATACAGTATGTGTGTGTGTGTGTGTGTGTGTAATTGTCAACATGTGAGAAATTAATATTTTAATATGGTGAGTAGATGTAAACATTCATTATAGGCAGATACTGTGGTTAGAGTAATGATTAATAAAATCAGGTTATGACATTAGACATTAGAGCTCTAAGAACAGAAACAAAATTACCAATGCCTTCAGTGCTGGATGCTACATGAAGATCCTCATTTCAACCATAACCTCTGCACATTGCAGACCTGAGGTATGTCTAACCCCTATAGTGATGGTGTGGTCTCTTTCACCTCATCCGGATTCCAGTCATCTCTGTCATGATAAACAGCTCTGAAGAAACATATCAGATCACGTTGCACATAACTCGAACTGTACGTATAGACATGTACACTTTGACAGGCTATAAACAAAACAAAGATGCGTAACAGAGTGGCCTACAGGCTAGCCTATGAAAATACTCAATCACAGATGTGTACAACCATGTCAGTCATAAAGCTAACATACTTAACAGGCCTAAAATGAAGATCCAAATCATTCTACTATGATATAAAATATCTCAAATAAAGGTCCGCACATCCTCTGACCCAGAAACCTCCTTCCCTCCCAGTCACTCTCTCATACACACACTTTGAAAGCTGTTCCACCATATATAGTTATATGAGGGGTGTTAATATAGCATAGGCTATACATATCTAATTTGAGAACTTGTCTACTCATTAAGCTGTATCAATGATTCAATTATTAGTTATCAATGTTACTATATATATATATAGTAGGAAATGCAGAAAAATTAAATTCTTTGTGTATATGTAGGCTATGTATTTCCTTTTCAAGATAATTAATAATGAACAATATTATAATTTAGTATATTTTTAATAATTATATGTAATCATTTAATGCATATATATAATTTATCAAACATTTATCAATGATACAAATGCACTACTTACATGACTTTCTGATTTTAAAACACTGAAAATTCACCTCTTAAAAATGCAACATAAATAATACAGCTGAGCTATTCTATTAGAAAAGATTGCTGAAATAAAACAATGAAAGATCTAGACATGGGAACACAAGTAAAGGACAGACTCACAAGATATCAAATGAAACTAAAAGTGGAAAGGAACGCACAACAAGCTGTGGAGTTTCCAGAAGAGGTCGAGGAAATGACTGATGGATTAAACAGAGAAGAAAAGGCAAGCACAAGAAGCAAGTTCGTTGTGCTATTTTGGTCACTCTCAGCTGTCCATTGCCTCCGCCTTCCCAAAAGAACCTGTTTTAAAGGGATAGTTCACCCAAAAATTTTAATTCAGAGCAGCGCTTCTGTGTTGTCCGTCACACGTAGGCTCACTATTGGCTAACCCCAGGCATGTGTGTGATGTGTGTGACGTATAACACAGAAGCGCTGCGCTGTTACACTACGTGAACTCACTCGAGGCCCACAGAGAAGGATATTAATAGTTGAACAAAGTTGTTATTTTTGTTTTGTTTTTGCACACAAAAATGATTCTCGTTGCTTGATAAACTTAAGATTGAGCCACTAGTCACTTTTAACAATGACTACGTTTACATGCAGCCAATTTTCGGGTTATGGTCAGGTTAAGGTCACTATTCGGGTTTCTGAAACATTAGGAATAACCCGTTTACATGCTTGAGCAGAGAGAGTTTCTCCTGTATGGAATTGCAATATCCCGATGTAAACGGCGACGCACGGTTAGCGTCTAGACGTACGAACAATCTTAAGATGCAATATGCGTCATATCCGATTCTTCTTCCTGTATCCAAAGACAACAACAACAACAGCACGCGGATAATGAATAGTTCGGGGCAGATAGCGATCGCCTTTGTTTGCGCTTTAATGCTGGTAACGTTACTGAGCTCACTCCAAAAGTATGCTCTGCTGTGTCTCGCCCGGTCTCGCCATGTTTACTTCCGGTATACTGCATGCGGATTTTTGTATGCGCCGAGAAGTTTCTCTACTCAAAAGACCAAGATTCCTTTCGAATAGAACATGTGCAGAACACAAATCACTAGGGGATACGTCGATACGCATTTAGATGACCAAAAAATCGGGTTAGAAAAGGGGTACCCCAGGTATAATATCCCGGTTTTTAAAATCCAGGATATGAGCAATATTCGGGTTTTTGCCAGTGTTTACATGGCCATTCGCGACCGGGTTATTGCTAATATCCTGGTTTTGAACAGGTTCTTGGCTGCATGTAAACGTAGTCAATGTCTTTTATAACTTTTCTGGGCCGGCAAGTTTCAATCCCTTAGAAGCCTAAGGAGGAGAGATCCAGCTCTCAGATTTCATCCAAATTATCTTAATTTATCTCTTACGGGGTCGGAACAACATGAGGGACGAGTAATTACAGAATTTTCATTTTTGGGTGAACTATCCCTTTAAGCCTATCTTCATGTGTCCTCTACCAACCCCACTGTACTGCATTGTGCTGATCATCTCAGACTAAAAGAAAAGAGATTAATTATGTGCCCATTCACAGAACAGCTTCCCATTTGCCACCAGAAATTGCACCCCAAAGTGACTATAGAGTGGCCAAGTGAGGTGAAAGAGCGCAAAGGGGAGAGAGAGTGCTGAATATAGGCATGGCCATGTGGCAGGGTGAGGCATGGGGACTTGGGCCCAAATCTTATGGCATCACTATACTAGGAAAGGCATTAAAACCCTATTTTCAATTAGGGCTGACTTGGAAAGAGGGGATGGGAAGGGTTATGATTTGACGCCAGAACTACCTCTTAGAAATCAGATGGGGGCGTGTGCACAAGTTTATCATTGGCTCAAAAAGTCTCTGGACTTAAATCAATCAGTATATATTATTGCAACCTCCCAATATTGATCTGCCGCTAATCTAAATATAGTGGTGGGAGTTGTGTCCTCCTCAGTGTCTATGGTTACAGCTCATTCATTTCAAACTGAGTTATGCGATTGTGAGAAGCTCAAACAGTCCCTTACGTCTCCATGTCCTTATTAGTCTACGTGTGACACGCAGACTGCTGCCATTAGTATCAGATTCATCCCATTCCAAGACTCTAATAGCTATTTCTAAGCACTGTAAGATGATAGGGCATCCCACCCTGTGTTCCTTCATCACTTTACCCCTACCTCATCTCTCGCCCCTTTCATAGTTTCCCTCTATCTGTCTGCTGTTTCCCAAGCCACACTTAAGGTTGGATCTATAATTAGCAAGGGGCCTTCGGCCGTATATAAGGCTTGCAGGAAAAGGTCACAATGCGGCTTCAGTCTTCACTTCTTGAGCTTCTTAGACTTCACACCGTCACAGCATGGTGAGTAACCAGTACTTTAGCTGTTACCTGGCCATAACATCTAGCTGGACACATAGGAACCAAGGACATAAGCCTCACTCTCAGCAGGGTCACGTGGATGAGAGCTTGCGTTTTGAATCAGCATCTGATTCTTGGATAATTGAACTGTGGACTTACAATACTTTTAACAGGATGTGATCAATTGGGCATGTTTTCTGAACCTGTGTTACTGGAACCAGGAAGTTAATACTTAAGCTGCAAAACTAAGTGGTTTTGCTTTCACTTCCCATAACCTGCAGTTTTTTGTAATTTATTAAAAAGGTACTGAGTGGACAAAGATTATATGTTTGTATATAGAAAGCTGTAAGTTTCAGCATAGTTTCCGAAATCATAATTCTAACGTACTTTGGAACAAATTCAATACACAATCCAAGTTTCCAGTAGCTGACTATGATGCCCTTGAAGCTACAAAAATACGGAATAAAGTGTCAATAATCAATGTAAACTTATGCAAAGATAATTTTTTGGATGTAGGCTATATCACTCATATAAGTCTGTTTCATTAGCTGTTCATACTCTTTTATTTTCAATAAATGTGTTAAAATGTCTTATGAATGAGAGTCTGGTGTCTCTACGCTTTGTGTGGCACTGCTACGCGAGTTTCTTTTTTTCTGATTTTTAAATGATGTTGATATGGATTATTGTCGAAAATTAGCACTACATCTATTCTGTTTGCATGCACTGCTGTGTTAACCGTTAAAAAACTTTATTATTAAAAGTTATTTTGCATATGTAGGCACCCAAGAAGGCTAAGAGGAGGGCAGGTGGAGGAGGAGAGGGTTCCTCCAACGTCTTCTCCATGTTTGAGCAGAGCCAGATTCAGGAGTACAAGGAGGTAAATATTTTTTCAGATCTTCTTGTCAATACAACAAGCACGCTAATTCAGTCATGTCAGATACATCGGTCCACAAACATCATATTTTGAGATCATTAGTCTATACGTTATTTTAGAAGTTGCATTCTTTCACTTTATTGTGGATTATCAAAGTCGAATGAGTTTGATGGGGGTAAATATCAGCATACATCAGTTCAGTGCAATAAATTACCACTGTAATTTTTCACAAAGGTTGCTTTAGAACTGGTTTTTAATGCTAATATGATCAAAGGCTAATATTTTTAACCCCTACTAAGAGAAATGTCGAGCCGTTTCTATATTAAGGCTCGTATAGTATAGCAACTGGACAGCAGATCATCTTAGTCAATTTGTCTTGTCTGCTAATTTATATATACTGTATATATTTATAAAAAACAGCAGAGCCTACCTCTCCACGCTCCTCCCATCTGTCACACACTGTTCTGATACCAATGGGACAGCAGCTGAAGATCACAGTGCATGCCAGAGAGACAAAAAGAAAGGAGAGTATGTGAAATATTAGACAAGATAAAAGAGATTAAGATTAATGAATAAAAATAATAACAGCCCTCTATCTTGGACTCAAGGAAAGTGTGAGTTAAAAAAAAAAAAACCCTATTGTTAATAAGTTCATGTTTAAGGGTGCTTGAAGAAAATGGACCCAGAAATGACATATAAAATCACGCACAAAATAAAAACCTGGAGA